ATCCAGACACACTCTCATGTTATTGCCAAAAACCTAGTGTATCATACGGAAATCTTATTTCGGTCAAACTCAAATTTCATCAGGTAATGTATGCGAATCAATGAGATTCATATTCATATGTGAGGATCATTTCTTTCTGCATCAGTAAAGGATAGTTCGTCATACGGGAATGAAGTTTTCTTGAAGTATGGAGAACAAGGGAGCGGAAGAACGAGTAGAGCGTAGTGCAAGGGGGAAGGAGCATAAATGCCGTACTTCCACATACTTTCTGTACTTCCCGACTATGTCGCAACTGTGCATCAGATCTCATTAGCTATTTGAAGTCTACTATTGACCTGCACTATGGTGTATTAATCGGAGTCCAGCTTACTTAAGTCAATCACATCCTAAAGCCTAAATACTACATGGTACTTCCAACTTGGAAGTACCATGAAGTATTTAGACTTTTGTGTCAGATAGACTTATGCAGGCTGGACTCCGGCTAATATATCGTAATACAGGTCAATAGTAGACAGCAAATGGCTAAAGAGATCTGATGCACAGTTACGACATAGTCGGAAAGTACAGGAAGTACGTGGAACTACGACATTTTCGCTCCTTTCCTTTTGGTGTAGTGATAGTTTTGGGAAGAAGATGAAAACATTTTCTGAATGCTACTAAATGGAGCGAGTCTGATTATTTATATACAAAGAATAAGAAGAATATACTTATAGTTTGTATAGTTTTCAAACGCAGAGTGGTCTTGATTGTCAGTTGATAGCAACGCCTAATATTACTCATTGAAGATAGAAAGATCTCTGATTAAACAATATAATATTAAGTTTAGTTTGCTTTTACACCTCTGAGTGCTGTTGCACATTTGATGTTATCTATATGTTACTGATTTCTAAGATTTTTATGTCATTTATTGTTCAGATCTGTTCGAGTGTATTTATTAATTCGACATGGACAACCCTATTATATGGATATGGACCTTTTGCAAACAGCTATTCGCAACTTGATCGACCTATTCTCAGTAGGCATTTTCAACTTTTGAGATGGATGTGTGAAGACATAATAAAGTATACCAATTGGCACATAAGAAAATTCTATCAAGCATCGATGCCAAGCGCAACTGTATTACCTCGAAGTTCACTAGACCCCATCAATATTGTCGCTAGTCAGATTCGGCTACTGCCACAGGATTTTCGACGGACACAATATTTTCTACTTGAAATGTTTCACTTCAGCTTTTTGCCAACAGCCTTCAATACTGATTGGTCGTTGGAATATGGTGATGAGTCGGATGGTTATCTCATTCGAAGTATACCTCGAGTATTCAGCAATACTACATGCAATTGCATGATTTCGACAACATGTCAAGAACCATTACGAATCGGTCCACCAGGTCTCTTTTTACCCGGTCTTGTTGTGGGATGTTTACCTATGGAGGGACTCCGCATGTCTACACTTGAATGTTTCTTCTCATCGAGTTGCATCTCTACCATTCTCACTTATCTTGAATACTACATACAAATGGATGGATTACCACCTATTGATTTCGTTCCAGCCACAGTACTACCCTTGACTATATCTCCTTTAAATGATTCAATACCATCGCGTTTTTCAAAGAACACAACAATCGGTACGCTCATTGACGAATATTTTCTCGAAGATTGGACATATGAAATATCATACGAAAATTATTTTGCTGCATGTGCACCAAGTCATTGCAATTTTGATTATGTTACACGAAATAATATCTTGTATGTAGCTACATCAGTATTTGGTCTTTATGGTGGTCTTACAATTGGTTTACGATTCATTATCTGGCATGTCATAAGATTTTATCGATTGATGGAAAATAATATTCATTCTCGTCGAGTTACGGCTCAATCATAATTTTAAAAAAAACCGACCGAATTACATTTGATCAATCAAGCACTGTTTGAATAACTGTTTACATTATCAAACTTCATATGATAACTAAGCTATCTCGACTCTGTCTCGCATTAATATTCAAATAGCTTGAGTCATGCTGTCTTTGTTGCTTTTATGCTAATACTAATTGCTTGTTGTCGTAAGCTTTCTGTTCATTGATATTGTCTTTCGAAAAAAAAAATTAGGGTGTGGTGTGGTTCTAGCTATAACTGTGGTTGTACCTGTGATAGACAAGAAGAGACACACCTACGCTCTTCATATATTCTATTCAACAAGTATTGTCTGTGTATTGTTGATTGTGGTTGTCGAAAAGTCATTAACTTTCTTATGTGCTTAAAGCGCCTACTTACCTAACAATTAATCGTGTTGCACCGTTTATATCGTAAATATCGAATAATATTAGTATTGTGCAGCGTGAATTTTCATTAGATGTTTCTATGAGCATGCATTGTCCACAACTATCATCCTAGTCGAATCTAAAGTTATGGAATCTTACATAATAAGTGAGTTTTCACTGATCGAAATGATATTTTCTTTTTTTTTGAAATTTTAGAAAATTGTCTATGTTTCCCAAAGAAGTTGACCAAAAATCTTTACTTCCTATCATTGCTCAATAAGAAAATTGAATCATGAGTGGTGTGTAACCATAATTATTATGTTCGCTTCATTTAGGTAATCTTCCGAATATATAATATATTTCGAATACGAAAAATTGAACGTATGAATAATGCTGTGATGCCACTGTAACTTTGCTGTTCGTAATCTATTTGAAGCATTTGTGGAAAAATGAGAGGAACAAATGCATGCAATGAATTTTGTAGCCTTTCTCATAAAAGTGGTTATGCGTCGTGTTTTTTCCTTTCCTTCATTGAGCATCACTTTTATCAAATAAGTATTAGTAACTAAACGAGTCCACACTTATATTTCTTTTTGACATCAGCTATATTCTGTACTACGAGAACATATTAATATTTTTAGAAAGCGACAAAATGTTTGATTTGCATGTGAAATTAGGTTTGACAAGAATATGTCCACGAAGATAATCTATTCCCAAAATGGTTGGATTTCTGACAGTTTCTTGTTTTCTGTTTCAGGCATCTGAAAGAAATCAATCTGATTCATTTGTTCGATATGAGAAAAAAAAGAGGTTTATCTTTCGCCAAAGAAATATAAATGATATTAGACAACAAAAACAAAACAAAAGAAAAGAAATACATAACTACCAAGGACTGACTCGAGTAATGGAAACAGGAGAATCACCACTAAATACTCAATCATTTGTTAGTTATTTTTAAAATCACAGTTCACTCACCTAAATCACAGAAAAACAATGACAGCATTGCAACTGATTGACCCACAGGTCGCATTCCAATCGTGAACACTCATTGGGATATATGTACGGTAGGGTGTGGGTGTGGGTGTGAGGTGTGGGTGTGGGTGTGGGTGTGGTATGGGGTGTGGTTCTGAGAAAGAACTACACCCACACCCACACTCACACCCCACCCACACCCACCCTTATAAGATGTTCATTGATATAGAATTCATTGTATTCTTTTGTTGTTTATTTAAGAAATATATCAGATTTATGTATACTATAACTTATTAATTACATCATTAAATGTACAAAAATATTCATCACATAAATTTGATAATTGTTCTGATGATGTTCATACATGGTGAGAACCAGTCTAATTTTTTAATCAATAGAAAATATTTTTCATATTTTAGACTTTATGAACCAAATACAATAACTCATTGGAATTTATGGAAATTATTGATATAATCTTTTATATGTATTATATTTTAAATAAATCAAAGTCAGAGAAATACTCGATACTCTTCTCTTCGATGAAATGAATAATTTAGCAATGAATTTGTTTTTTTCTCGAGTCTAGTACTTCTCTATTATTTTAAAGTTTAAAATTTTTTCAATAGTTGTTTTTTTTTATACTTTCGTTGAATGTTCAATGTCAATCTAAAACACAAGTGTTACTTCTCAATAATTAAAACATATATGAACATACATTAACTGGCAATAGTTATGTATTGTTACTTTGAATTGATGTTAATCTAATATTGAATGTATTTTTGCACCTTTTCATGATTGGATTGATTTAGTGAATTTATTGAAGCTAAAAATGAAACTCGTAGTTCTGGAAACTGTATTCCAAACTCAGAAATCATTTAGCTGTACGAGATGAATCATATTAATAAAAATATGTTTTGTATTTAATATTTTTCTTGTTAAATAATAAATATGGTTAAGATCATTAAATGGCAAGCAAGAATTGATTTATTCATTTGTTTACGATAACATTATGTCATTGATAAAGACATTTAAATATTAGTAATAGTTGTTTGATAATATGCAACATGATATTATTTGATCTGTTTTGCGAAGCAATTGATATATAATTGATGTCGGATTATATATGGTTTTTGTCAAATAATAAAAAAATCTCTTCAATTAAATTTCAATTAAGAAATATTTTTGGTTTTTGAAATATATTTATATAAACTATTTTCGATATAAATATAATAAAATCATTCATGTCATCTGTTGAAAATTGACATGTGAATTCAACATGACATTGTATTATATCAAAATAAATTATTAATACCAATAATAAGACAATGAGACATTGATAATCGTACAAAATTCTATAAAAACAATTGATAGCAATGTAATTATCTAATACATATATGATAAAGTGATGATTTTAAAGCTATAGATTGAATGTTTTCAGAGTTAAGGAATCTAAATATATGGGAGACTTTATAGATCTCCTTCAATCGAAGAAGTGAAACTAAATATAAGATCAACATCACTGTCGTATCCTTAGCCACCGATTGGTACTATTTGTTTTGAAGAACGTGTCATTAACTTGAAACTGCTGATGTCTAAAAAATATTTTAAGTTGCAAATAGAAAACATTTTAGGAGATAATTATCTTGAAAGCTATTTATTATTATTTTTTTCTCATAATATTAGAAAGACATCGTTTTCTTTCTCTGTAATAGTACAAATGCAACGACTCAGAATTTTACCGATGAGTTCAATCATTATATTAATGCCGCTTAAAATGGTTTTCTTTACAATTCGTACTACTTAAAATTTTGCTTCTTTTGTTTTCTATTTATGTCATTAAAACGCGTTCTTCTGTATATGTAGGTATACAAGAGACCGACTAGGTTTATATTGCAAGATATTTTTCGAGATTTTGAATCATTTAAAAATCACATCTACTACTAACACATAAACTATGTCAAAGAAAAGGAAATCTTTTTTTCTTTTATTGGATTCAAATATTCATATCTATTTCGGTAAATTAAATCTAAAATCTACTGTGCACATCATAAATATTAATAATCTTCTATAAATTACATTTTTAAGTTTTTGTAAAGAAACTTTCTGAGTATATTATTTGTTTTTTGTGGTGGATAATATTTGTAAAAATAATAGTATCTATTTAGGTATTAATTGTTTATTTAAAGATTGTTCATAAAGTGTTAACATTTCTTAAATATGATGTGGACACAAATAATTAATTCAGCTAAATGTAATACAAAAATGTATTAGTAATGTAAGATATTGTTCAATCAATAAATGCAATAGAAGAGCACTTTCATTCTAATGTATTCCTTCACGTGTATGAAGTCTTTTTAATGATGTTAATAATAATTTATTTCGCTTTAATACGTTATCTCAATTAGTATATATTGATTGAACAAATAAATGATTTGCAACTAATGTGCGACCTATTAGACCAAATAGTGTTAATATTGATGATTACAATGCTTTTTGTATATAATCAAGCATATTAAAAATGTCTTTCGATTGCAATAATAATAGTGTATTAAATGATAATAACAATAATTTAAAATATTCACTTAAAATAGTTAAAGAAGAAAATGTACCAAGACCATGTATAGTTTCATTATGAAGTAATAATGGACGAAATCCTTTACAATCGTTCAAAATTGTTTACCTAAAATAAAATTATAGATCTTATAAAAACATGGGAGTCTTAAAATCAAACCGAGTATGGTTGTGGTTGCAGACAAAAGTTACCTCTAGATACAGATACCCACCTACACTCACATCCTACTGGTGACAGTAGCAGCCATCATTGACTTATGATACACTGCCATCCATCACCCTTTGTGATGAAGTCGAAGCAACCGAAAGAAAAAAACAGTAGAAAAAAACAAAAAGAAACTGTTTTAACCTACTTAGAAGTTCTTTTTCTTCTTTTTTATTATCTATTACTTTAATTCAATTCTTCTTTGCATGTGTCGTTTTTGTTCTTCTTCCTTATCTTATCACTGAAGTATGTACACAGACTTCACCTATTACATTTAGCCAGCAGAACTTTTGAAGTAAAAGAGTGAATAATTGAGATAAGAAGTCCTTGAAGTTTATAACAACCATCGAAATAAAACGAAAGTGTCAACATAAAAAGGAAGAAAAGTCGAAATATATCTAGAGACAAAGACAAAATATTTTTTGTTTTGTTGATTCTTACACTGTGCAACAACTATATACCAATTTTCAATCATTTCCTTAAACTGAAAAACAAATGGGCGAGAAAAATTCTAAATCCATGGCTAGTGGCTCATCATCTACAACAAGTAAGCCAGATAAATCCTCATCATCAGCAGCAGAGAGTAAAAGTGCTGCACTTCCTCAACCCGTTCGTCGGGTTATACAAAATTTTCTCTTAATCTGGCTGGACGCAAATATTGATGAAACAAAGGAAGATTTTAAAAATTCATTAAAACATTTACGACATATTGTAGTATCCATTACAACTTTTAAGGATGGTAAAGAATGTTGCAAATTTTTGGATGATATTAAAAAAGAAAAGGTCTTTATGATTGTATCCAGTGCATTAGGACGACAAGTAGCACCAGAACTACAAACAATGCCACAGATAGAACTAATATATGTTTTCTGTGGAAATAAATCGTATCATGAAGAATGGGCAAAATCTATACCAAAAGTCAAAGGTGTTTACACCGATATTAAACCTATATGTGAAGCACTTGAAATCGATCGACAACGATGTGATCGAAACATGATTTCAATTAGTTTTAATAATCTCGATCCTCTTTTTATGTATACACAATTATTAAAAGAAGCACTCCTAGAGATCGAAGACGATGATAAAACATCTATTAAAGACTTGGCTGAGTATTGCCGCGAACAAGATGATATTCCTGAAGATCAAATCAAACAAATTGAACGTGAATATCATAAACATACACCAATATGGTGGTATACAGCCGAAACATTTATATATTCTACACTTAATCGTGGACTTCGCGTTATGGATGTCGATATCATTATGAAACTGGGTTTTTTCATTCGACACTTGCATAACGATAGAAGTTGTTCAGATATTACTCATCCGCGCACTATTATAAAAAAATACACAAAATTTGTTTTTTCTTGAACAATACATTTGTTTTAAGTATGAATTTTATAATGATTTGCAACTGCTGTCAATTTGCTCAATAGAAAAAAACATCTCATTCATATTTTTATTGTTGTCACCATTGCAGAAAATTAAAATAAATATGGTCCTATTGGAAAAAAAGTAAAGACATTAGATTATCAATATCATTTTGACTGATACACTATAAAACTCTTCATCTATCTTCAGTAATCATGTTCAAAGAATATAGGATTTACTAAGTAATTAAGAATGAAAATTTTTCAAGATGATAATCACCTTAGCGCAATTCCATCTTACATAAAAGGAAACCGGAACAAAAAAAATATTTCTGAACATTGTAGGCGAATATTGGTTTTGTGCGTAAGCAATAAAACATCACAAATGATATTTTATAAATATAATATAATATTTAGGTATAAGCTAACCAAGAAAACAAAATTTCTAAGATTTTTTTATTCGTTTGTTTTAAATATTTCTTATCGCATATGCTAATCAAATATGAGTTATATGATTATTTACTTTTTTCTCTGATATAACAAACAAAAAAACAACATACTATAGATGTTTCATCATCTGTAGCGTATTCTACTGGACGTTGCTTTCGCTACGAGACTATGCCATTTCTGCCTATCTTGAGCACTTTTCCAGGCGAAGAAGAGACCAAGATTCAACGGCCTTAGGTCATCTTCGACGGAGCGGATCCACATGTGGCGTGGTCTGCCTCGAGGGCGTTTCCATCCACGTGGTAGTTCATTGATGCCTACTTTTAGTGCTCTGGTGTGATCGAATAGGGGATTGACCCTGGCTATATGTCCAAATTGTCACAGTCTTCTGCTTCTGATAGAAGCGCTGACCTTCGGTTGGCCGGTACGTTCATGGACTTCTCTGTTCGTGATGTGTTTCGTGTTCGGTATGTGGAGAATACGTCTGAGACACCAGTTGTCAAAAGCATCTAATTTTTTCTCGACGGAGTCAGTTATCGTCCAGACTTCCGTGCTGTACAGGGGGACTGGCAGAATATAGCTGTTGTAAAGAAGAATTTTGGACTGTAGGGATATGCTTGAGCGCCATATAGGTTTGTCCAGTGTCTTCATGCAGTTCCAAGCGATTGCAATCTTTCTGGTGATTTCTGGTAGGCTACTGCCAGTTTTGTGAATTATGCAACCGAGGTAGACGAATGGGTCGACCGTTTCCACATTTTGATCGAGTATGGATAGTGTGTTGTTGTTAGTTGGTTCAATTCTTGTTTCTTGAATTTTCGTTTTTGGCCAGTTGATTTCCAAACCAAACGGGCGAGCTTCCTGTTGCATGACCTCCAATGCCAGCAGGATTACTTCTGCAGTCTCGGCTAGAAGAGCCACATCGTCCGCAAAGTCCAAATCAGTGAATACTTCGTTACCCAGTGTAGCGCCGAGCAACTCTCTGTGTACCGCTCTTTGGAGCAGCCAGTCCATTGGTGCTAGAAACAGATCTGGTGCGATTGTGCACCCTTGCCGAACGCCGCTCTTGACTTCAAACCAATCTGATAGTTGGCCGTCAACGCGAACACAGCTGAATGTGTTAGAATATAGTTCCCTTATAAGATCAACAATTTTCTTGGGAACGCCAAGACTTGTCAATGCAAGCCAGAGTGCATTGCGATCGATCGAGTCGAACGCTGCTTTGAGGTCAGTGTAGGTGATCCAGAGTGGGCGATTGTATTCGCGCCGTGTTTGACGCAGAGTAAGAAGTGTGAAGATTCTGTCCACCGTTGATCGGCCTGGGGTGTAGCCGCTTTGTTCGTTCCTGCGCTTGGTCAAAAGCAAGTTCTTGGCTCTTGACAGCAGAATTCTCGCAAACAGTTTACCGGGACAGGACAGTAATGTGATGCCTCTATAGTTTTGGCACTCCTGTCTGTTATCTTTCCGTTTATAGAATGGTAGAATAATGCCTTTCTTCCAGTCCGATGGTATGACTCTAGAACGCCAGACATCCTGGTAGATGTTGGTTAACCAGATCCTGCAGTCGGCGCCTCCAGCTTTCATCATCTCTGGGGTGATGTTGCATATTCCAGGTACTTTGCCGTTTTTCATTTTATTCAGACAGTTGATAACTTCCTTCACCGTTGGTTCGCTGAGATTGATGGTTGGGTCTTCGATAGCTGATTGGGCAGCAGTAATCAGTTCCTCGGAGTCGGGTGCGCTGGGTCGGTTGAAGAGTCCTGTGTAATAGTTGCGCCAGCATTCCAATTTGTGTGATTTGTCGCTGATCAGATTGCCGTTTGCGTCGAGGATTGGGCTAGAGACAGGCCTGGTGGCCTTAGCTAAGCATCAAAAGTTAGCGAAAGCGTCTCTCGCTTCACCAGCGATGAGCGCCGCCTCTCCACCTCTCGCCAAGCTGTCAGCTCATCGTTGTCGGTCCAGTTTTAGATTTGCCTTGCATTGTTTATTCAATGGTTTGTATTCATCATGTTTGTTGAGAAGTCTTGCTTGCTTCTTTTTGTCAACTAATGTGAGGGTGGTGTCGCTGACCCATGGCTTTTTCGTTTGTTTACGAATACCTAGGTGTTTGTTTGCTACATCGTTTAATGTTTCTTTGAATCTGTCCCAGTTGGAAATCTCTTCGACTGCTAGTGCAGCAAAGCGATTGCTTATTTCCACTGCGTATTGAAATTACACTACTGGATCTTCCAACATCTTCATGTTATAGCATAATGTTTGTGGTTTTTTCTCGCTTGTGCGTTTTAGCCTTAGCGACATCGTAGCGATTACAGGTCGATGGTCTATGTCGAATTCCAGACTACGATAGACGCGACAGTTTTGCAGAGCAGACCATTTAGTGTTGACCAAAATGTGGTCGATTTCCTTTACAGTTACCCGGTTGTTTGAGAACCACGTATACCTGTGTATATCCTTACGCTTGAAGCATGAACCACCGATTCTTAAGCCGGCTCCCAAACAGAAGTTCAGCAGTCTCTCCATGCTGTCGTTTGGAGTACCGCTCTCATACGGGCCGATAACGTGGTCCATATTGAGTCTTGATGTTCCAGTGACAGCGTTGAAGACACCAAGACAGATGATGAGGTCGCTTTGATGTGTCATTTTCATTGCTTGTTCAATTTGTTGATAGAAGGTATCTTTATCATTGTCGCATGCCTCGTTGGTGAGGGCATAGGCTATTATTACTGAGAGGTAGCCGAAGTTGTGTTTGAATCTGGCCATCAAAAGTCTTTCACTAATTGAATGCCATGAGATCATGGATGCGACGGCGGTCTGATCGAGTGCGAGAGCAACTTTTTCAGACTGTGGAATGCCAGCAGTTGGACTGGACCATAAAATTGTATAAGGGCCACTTGTTGTTTCACCGATACCGGGCCACCGTATTTCTTGAAGAGCCATCATGTTGATCTTAGCTTTCGCAAGTTCGGAGACGAGGATGGTAGCTGCACCTGTTTTCAGGAGCGTTCTTATGTTCCACGTGCCAGCACGAAATGGTTTCTGGGCCGGAAAATGTTTTGCATTAGGGTTGTATGAGTGTGAATGTGAGTTGTAAGGTTTTCACCGGATGACGACCGAATCGGCCTTATTTCCGACCCTGCCGGACGCGGGTCCCACTCTAGATGGTTGGGATCCGTTTACGTCGTTGGTCGTAACAGTATTTAGGTTTTATCTCATAGTGAATTACGTAGGCAAAGAATGTTCCTGGTTCCTTGCCGGGAGAACGCAGGTAAGGTGGCTGACCGTTACGAAGAAGATATTTGCATCCGCTCTAGACCGGCCACCCGGTCACCACCTGTGTTGGCCATCGTTTTCAGAGTTCTCCTTGAGCCTGTCCACCTCGCGCAGCGCCCTAGATGATTCTTCAGCAAAAGCTTTCATCACTGATGGCGTAGCCTCAACGAGCAGTCCCATACTTAGATGTTCGCCCCCACACCACGACGAGGTACAGGACGGGTTTTGAGGGGAATAGATGTTTAGTTACACCTCAAATAACAAAGATAGTTCTTATCAATCTTAAAACAGCTTTGGATAAAGAAACAATTGAATAAAATCTTTATCAACATTAGAATAACTTTTTTGTTTGAATATCCTAATGTTAGCTATGAAAAAATAAACATTTGACTTGAGATCTTAATTTGCAACAATAAAAATTTCAATAATGTTAAAGTAAATTTTTGTTGAAAGAACACTACAGATATTGCTGATGTCTTCATAGATCTTCTGTAGTGATCATGAATTTTGAGAAGAAAATAATCATATAACCATACGAGTAAACGGAACTCATTCCGATTTTCAATTCTACAATAGTAAATTGAGTATTTCACACGTTTAGATTAGTTTTGTTATATTTGCAATGAAAGTATAAAGTAGGTGATTGTGCCAATAGGCATCTTATCTTATGTGATATCTTTTCTTTCTCAGTGTGTTACTATACAATCAATGACATGTAGTGTTCATAATCGCGTTACGGCTACGATCATCTATGCATGATTGAACCTTTTTCTCATTCTACATTATCATTCACTCGTATATTATATATGAGTTCTCTCCTTGGCCTCACTACCTCTTTATTCTTACGTTGTTCTCTCCTTGGCCTCATCTTCTGTCTTTTCATTATCGCTTGTTCTGCTCATGTATATAAACGTGTGCTTTATATGTAAACGATGCGATTGTATGATATGAAGGAATAAACTAAAGTATAATATCATCAACACGAACAATCCTTCTATCATTAATCATCAGATGACGATAATATGATATGAAGAAATGGAAGAAAGTATATCTCCACATACACTATCTTCCCGTCTATTATCATTTTTCGTCACAGTGATGAACAACTTAGTGATTTAACAATGATATGTGCTCATAGAAATATTGTTGAAGAATTAAATATTGAAAATAGATTTCATGAATTCGCCAATTCCAAATATAAAATACATTTTACTATTGAAATTAATTATTTGTTCTACTTGTTAAAAAACCAATAGAATATTAAGTTTCACATAGAATAATTTCTATTCCTTCGAAAACAACAAAACAAATCAATGATATATTTTTCGAACAATTTCATATTGCAGAATTAAATCGTGAACAAGAACACGGCACACAAAAACACTTTCAAGTCTTTCGAGGACAAGGCTTGTCCTTGGAAGATTTTGCAAAAATGAAAAAAACCAAAGGAGGACTTATGTCCTTTAATAATTTTCTATCAACAAGTCGCAATCGACAGATATCTTTGGAAAATTTCGCATGGCCTGCTACAAAAAATCCCGATTTAGTTGGTATTCTCTTTGTTATGAATATTGACACAGATATTTGCACAAAATCACAAACACCATTCGCTGAAGTAAGTCAAGTTAGTTACTACAAAGATCAAGAAGAAGAAATACTTTTTACAACACATACAATTTTTCGAATTGACCGGATCGAACGAATTGACGATAAACATAATGATCGCCTGTGGCAAGTTAATCTTACTCTTGCGGGTAATCAAGATGATGATTTTAACAAACTCACACTTTCCATACGTGAAGAGGTCCACTTGAGAGCAAGAAGATCAGGATGGTCACAACTAGCTTTCATATTTCTTAAACTAGGTGAGCCTGCAAAAGCGGAAATACTTTACAATCTACTACGTCCGAATGCAACTTCCGATACGGATCGAGCGGATTACAATCACAAACTTGGTTGGGCGTATGATGACATGGGCGAGTACTCGAAAGCACTTACATTGTACCAACAAGCACTTGAAATCCAAAAAACAGCTCTCCCTCCGAATCATCCCGACTTGGCTCAATCCTACAACAACATTGGTAATGTGTATTCTAAAATGGGAGAGTACTCGAAAGCACTTACATCGCACGAAC